TTAACTCGAAAAATGAAGCAAGAATGTGAAATAAAAACAACTATCCAAACATATGAAAAACAAAAAAAAGTATACCATTTTTCTTAGCAACTTCGTTGCATACGGTAAACCTAAGGAAAGAGTAAACGATCACCTGAAAAATTAAGTATAAGTGTCCCATCGGCGTTGTTCTGACTAATGAAAGATTTTATTCTTAACCACTCGCACAAATCTTCCAAACCAAGCCAATGTTGGAATTATATTATGGAATTCAATGTATCAGGATGTAACTAATTTTTGCTGGAATTGTTTAGTACAATTTTAAGGTAAAACCACCTGTCACGTGAATTATCTGTGTAGGTTATTTACACAATTAAATTTTTAAAATAAACAAAGCGGTTAGGATAATAGCTCGTGTTTAATTTTAAGCTGTTTGGAGAGCAAAGTTTATAATAGTTATGATGCAGCTCCTTAACATCTAAACGATTGAATGTCTATATAATTTCACCTTTCATCATCAGACAATTCAGTCTTGACATGACCTAGACATTCCTGTTCTCAGCGCCTACTGCGATTGAATAATACATTTATAAGCTTGTAGCACCTACTGTGCTTTCATCATCTACTCAGATCCACTAATCGGTCGCAAGTCTAATCCAGTTTTCGTCGTCAACCTACTTACTCACATTATTGTGCTCGAATCAGCGGACAAATTAAGCACATCACCTTAATCGCAGCATTGCATGAAATTTTATTTCGATCAATTTCAATTTAAACACTATCTATCACTCTACATTCTAATGACATCTGCCCAAATTGCAACATCGGCCATTTCCCCCAACAGCCTGCACCATTCAACTACATTGCACGCACCATTTGAATTTTACTCCATATACCCAGCTGAGTCGGTCCACTTGCCGAGCGTATAACTACTTAGTCTGCAACAGAAAAAATGTTCCCAATTTATCCAGGTCTCACATTCTACCAAACTTTCATCCGTAGTCCTTTTCAGCGTCTGCTCACTTCTCGCAAAGGCCTCAGGAAGCAAATATTCTAATGAGGTCGCAACTCAAGCTTTATGAGGCCAGGATTTTCTCGATCATCTGAAGAATTGTCCGACTCTTTGATAATTTAAATCAATTTATTCTCTGGTCGTTAATCGCACGCGTATAAATCAACAAATTCTGCCATCTCAAACTAATATATATATACATATACAATCAAATGTTTCAAATAAACATGGCATTTAGTAAAATTGCACGTGCTTAATTTTAGTATGTGGATAACGATGTTTCCAATAGTTATGATGCAGCTTCTTGACATCTAAACGAGTGAATGTCTATATAACTTCACCTTTCATAATCAGATAATTCAGTATTGACAAGACCTAGACATTCCTGTTCTCAGCGCCTACTGCGATTGAATAATACATTTATAAGCTTGTAGCACCTACTGTGCTTTCATCATCTACTCAGATCCACTAATCGGTCGCAAGTCTAATCCAGTTTTCGTCGTCAACCTACTTACTCACATTATTGTGCTCGAATCAGCGGACAAATTAAGCACATCACCTTAATCGCAGCATTGCATGAAATTTTATTTCGATCAATTTCAATTTAAACACTATCTATCACTCTACATTCTAATGACATCTGCCCAAATTGCAACATCGGCCATTTCCCCCAACAGCCTGCACCATTCAACTACATTGCACGCACCATTTGAATTTTACTCCATATACCCAGCTGAGTCGGTCCACTTGCCGAGCGTATAACTACTTAGTCTGCAACAGAAAAAATGTTCCCAATTTATCCAGGTCTCACATTCTACCAAACTTTCATCCGTAGTCCTTTTCAGCGTCTGCTCACTTCTCGCAAAGGCCTCAGGAAGCAAATATTCTAATGAGGTCGCAACTCAAGCTTTATGAGGCCAGCACTGAGAGAAATGGGCGGGTCTGGATGACCCACTTTGATGAGTCAACCGCGTCCGAAAATCGATGCACTTTTTTGACTCACTTGCCCCATTTGTGGGTCATACTGACCCATTAAATTCCAGGCATGACTCACTTGTGACGTCAAATCCCTTATGACGCCACCCGTAGCATGGATACGTAGTTAGCATCTGAGCGTGAGAGCGATTTAACGCCACAAGTGAGTCATGCTTGAAATTTAATGGGTCAGTATGACCCACAAATGGGGCAAGTGAGTCAAAAAAGTGCATCGATTTTCAGACGCGGTTGACTCATCAAAGTGGGTCATCCAGACCCGCCCATTTCTCTCAGTGAGGATTTTCTCGCCGTCTTGTCTTTAGGTCGATGGCCGACTAAGCTTTCCTTATCACTGCTCAGCGAGACCAAAAATCACATTCCTTCACCGTTATTGACGGTGGAAAGCGAAAATCCGCAAATCTTCGCACAGAGCGCTGCCGAATTTTTGCAAGGGGCCTTGCGTAATTACGGAAACGGTTTGGTGAGCGTCGATGCTGCTCATCGACGCAAAAATAGAGATGGCGTCTGAGTTTATCGTCTTAAAGATAAGGATTAAATTTATCGAGCTTATTTCACTTACTGCCCTCTAGGGTCAAATGATGAACGCTGCGCGCTTTTTATGGCTTTGGGAGATATTAGTACGGAAATCGAAGCAAGGTTCAAACAGGCGGAGAGTCATTTCAGCGACATAATTGCCAACGGCACGACTGTCGTCGGATCGAAATAAAAAAAATGTAAATGCCATGAATGATTGTCTTAGTAATAATACTCGTAATACTAATTTTTTAATAATTATTATTATATAAGCAAGATATTTCTGTTTATTATGACGCGTTAAATAGAAATAATACAATGATAATTTAAACTTCCTAATTCTACATGCCCACTGACCGATCTGATTCGAAGACAGTTAGAATGAATACTGCTTAAGCGCTATTTACATTTGATATTATCTTCAAAGATGTCAAGAATTTGAGTATCCTGTAACGTATAGTCGAAAAAAATATTGCTTATTAATCAGAAATCACTTATTTGCCCCAAATTTCTACTGACGAAATTTTTACTGGCTAGACATTGATCAACACAACCTAATAGAAACCTTTCAACACATAATTACGGGTGAAAGATACTAAAAATATCCCTGCCATTGAGGTGAACACAAACACTTCCGATTGTTGGCTACACAAATAGTAATTTTACTGGCTTCAGGATGACGTCAGCAAGTTTTGTTAGTATAGCATTGTGCATGAGGTCTAGGTATTGTTTGTTCGGAACCGAATCTATAGTAAGGATAGATTCAATGATATGAATTTTGAGTCATTTGACTTGTGAGACAGTAATATCCGGTTAACGTTGGTCATGAAACACTTGGGATAAACATGGAAATTTATCACACAAAAAAACAGGTAACTCCAGTAATGTTATACCATCGATATGCATGCTTGGGTTCGGTATTTTACTTCTGCATTAGTCGTGATGTTTCGTTCCATATTTTTATTAACTTTTACTGCATTGAAAAAATTCTTCGGGCTTATTTTATATTTTTTCACTTCTTATAGCCAATTTGTCTAATAAAAACAATGCCTATACTGCGCACGACGCATTTATATCAACCACATTTAGCTTAGCTTCTATTGATCTCACTTACACGATTCACCCGGTCATAAAACATATTAGACTCAGTCATATGCATATATATGATACAAGTTCTGAGAATTGCTGTACAACACTAAATATTAACCATATTTTTATTAATATTCTGCGACTGAAAAGAATAGGCTGAATCCAGTACAAAAAATGAGGACTCAGCAAGACTGTTTGATATTTTTTTCTCGTTTATTGTATTTCAGATGTTTTTTTCCACATTAACTTTCCTGTATCACTGAATATTTTCCTCAAATTCAAACAATTATTATTTGGCCTGCAATGTGGGTTATTTTCTCATTAAAATATATAAAAAATTCAACATTCATGGTTTTTCAAACCAAATCAGTATTATATGGATTTCTGAAAGAATCGAAATAGGCAAAAGCAATTCATGCCAAACTGAAATATTTTCCGGTGCTCGTTTTAAATGGGAACAGGGTAGGGTTGCGTCATTTAAACCCAGGAGCCCCGATATCACTTTTGGTTGGGCCAAGGATGACGCCGTCTTCCGTAGAGTTTTTTTATTGACGTGCACCTCGCTGGCAATTATGCAAACTGGTGCGTAGTTCACGCTAAATTTAACTGGTTAAAGGAACCCTGCATTTCAGAGAGCTGGGAATTGAAGGCAGATTTTGAATCGTTCCGGCGATTCAAAGCAGCGTTCGAGAAAGATTCAAGCATATTATCTGGAAAATTGAATGCTTGAATTAGTATCCCTCGTTCTCTTACGTTCAGAGCCCGTTAAAATAACCGTCTTCTGCTAATGTATGTTTCGAATGAAGTTCGTCTGTTAATTCTATCCCATTTTTATGAATTTTATTCATGGCTAATGGGAACATGCCCTCTCCTATGATACCACAAATAATGATTTGAGAAATGTACTATTGGAATTAATGTTATTTTTTCAATAATTTTTCTTGTACTCTAATGTATTAACAGCACAAGCAAAAAATTATTTACTATGCGTTAAGATTTTTTTAGTCCATGATCCTTTGGAAACTTTCACACGAAAACGGTCTTCCTTGAACATACTATATAATAATATCTATGCTGATTTTGATTAAAAAACATTCATATTAGAAGAATATCTCCGATGCGTTTATCGTAAACCAGAGAGCCGTTATTTGAAAATATGAATATCTGCGGTTCTTGCTCTAATAGCAAGAATCGCAGCATGCTACGATACTTTAAATTAGACTAATCAATTTATTATCTGTGCCTTTTAGAAATAAATGACACAAATTCGATAAAATTTAAATATAAATGACTAATAATTAGATCAATAATTAAGATGACATGCAAACGTGTCATGCTACCCAATGTTCAACAATTTTTCTTGTTAATGATCGCGACTAATGAGCGAATTTTCTGATTTTTTTCCACGCAGGAGGCGGATCGTACCCCGTTATGGTGTTCATCCAAGGCGAAGCCTTCTGGTGGGGCTCCGGGAACTTGTACGATGGAACCGTGCTGGCCAGCTATGGCCGGTTGGTAGTGGTCACGCTCAACTACAGGCTGGGACCTCTAGGTGAGATTCCCAATGGTTGTGGTGAAGCTCGACTACAGGCTGCGACCGTTAGGTGTGAGTCCTTTTGGTTGTGGTCACGCTCAACTATAGGCTGGGACCTCTAGGTGAGATTCCCTAATGGTTTTGGTTACACTCAACTACAGGCTGGGACCGCTAAGTGAGAGTAATAATCGTGATATGCACGCCAAGCTGCAGACTGGCATAGTTAGGTGAGAGACCTAGTGTTTGTTCTCACGCTGCAGCTTCAGAGTGGGGCCGCTGGGTGCGAGTCCTAATGGTGGTGTACACGCTACAACTACAGACTAGGACCGCTAGGTAAGAGTCCTATGGTGGTGGCCACGCTCAACTACAGGTGTAGGACAGCTAGGAGGGAGAGTCCATATGGGGATGGTCATGCTACAGTTACATGCTGGGACCGCTAGATGAGAGTCCTTATAGTTGTGATTGAGCTCAACTTTAGGCTAGGACAGTTAGGGGTGAGTTATAATGGTTGTGGTCGACATCAACTACAGTCTTACACCGTTAGGTGTGAGTCCTAATGGTGGTGGTCACGCTCTACTCACAAATTAGGACCTTTGGGAGAAAGTCCAAACGGTGGTCACGCTAAACTACTGGCCTGACGGACCCCCAGTTGAGAGTTTCAATGGTCTTGGCCGCTATCATTTACCTTCTGGGACAGTTAGGTGATAATCCTGATGGTGATAGTTACGTCCAACTACCGGCTGAGACCGTTGGTCACCTATAGGTTGTTGTTGCAAACCTCAATAACATACTGTACAGAGAATACGAGTCATTTCCAGGCACTCGATTATTCTCGACTGCTGCCTTTTAATATTCGAAATAAACTATACATGGTTCTTCGTGAAAATCTATTGAAACCTGACTCATTAAATTACACCAGTGATCCTTAGTAGTAAAGTAGGGACCAGATGCTGATAGATCTCACTCCAGACTGGCTTAATTACTACTGTTTTACTTCACAAGAAACGAAGAATTGTATTTCGTGGTTTCAAATATCATGTGTCAGTCACCGTTATTCAATGAATGGTGATACTGCTGAAACTTGCGTAAGTAAAAGGTTTGATTGATTGCAATCAAATTATGCGGCAAAACAATTCTTGAAAATAACAAAATTTTTCTAGTTAAGGTCGACGCACATCTATAGCCTGTTTATCGAGTCCACATCTAGTTAAGTCGGCATAAACGATGCGTATCAGTTTCAAGCTATTACTCGGGCCAATTCCAAAAAGTTTATGGAAGGCAGATTCTAGAACTTGGTTTATCTTGACGTAATTCAGCCATAGCCTGCAAGTTAAGCTGAGCTGGTCCATAAGGACGCCTATTAAATGATTCGTTTTTCAAAGTTCTGCATACCGAGAATTAGGTTTAAATTCCTCTGGAGGCAATTAAGATGAATACGAGTACCTGGAAATAGAGCACGAAAATTCAAGTTATTGATAGTTCGAGTATTCAGTAGGTATGTCCTGTGGATGAGTTTAATATAGGGTGTAGATAACGGTTGCCAATAATGCCTCACACCAATACTGCCCAGTAGCCAATAGTGCCCAAATACTGATAATATATTATTCCAATAGCACACCCTAATTGCGCCTCTATTTTATTTGCGGCAGCGGCGACCGCGACAAATGGACCCGGCCCAAATATGCTGATGCATCCGCGAATTTTCAATTTTACGGACCCACCGATCCCAGCAGGCATTAGGCGGTTGAATCAACTACCTATTACGACGTTCAGATCGGGGTTAAATGAGGTTTAGAATGAAAACTGAAGCGACATCTTTCATGAAACGTCGTACTGACGTTACAATGCAAAGTTGACAATGTTGCTACTTCAACGTTGAATTCTATGGTTGAATCGACGTTGAAACAACTACCTATTACGACATTGAGATCGGGGTGAAAAGTGGTTTAGAATGAAAATTGAAGCAACGTCTCTCATGAAACGTCGCACTGACGTTACAATGCAACGTGGAATCAATGTTGCTACTACGACATTGCTGCAGCGTCAAATTCTCTAGTTGAATCAACGTTGAAGAACCAATCTGTTTTTCGTCCGTAGCAGGATTCGAACCCGGGATCGCTGGAGACCGCGCGAAGCCTTAGCAACCTTGACCACATAAGCTCACGTGCATGAGCAATAAAATAAGCTAAAGAATTGTTCGACTCCTTGAAAATTGAAATGCATTCCCTGTCATTAATCGTTCACTTATGTATATTTATTTCATACAATGTTGGTGTGATAACATTATTTTCATGCTGGTAAATAGCTAAGCAATCAACGCACCGATATCGACGTTGTTTCAACGCTGAAATAAGGTTGTTTTATGTCTGTTCTAGTTTTGGTCAGTTTTCGACGTAGATCGGACGATTAAAAATAAATAAACATTCAACGAACTAATATCGACGTTGTTTCAGCGTTGAATTAAGGTTGTTCTACGTCCGTTCTAGTTGTGGTCAGTGTCGACGTTGATCGGACGTTTAAAAACGAATAAACATTCAACGTACCAATATCGACGTTGTTTCAACGTTGAAATAAGGTTGTTTTACGTCCGTTCTAGTTTTGGTCAGATTTCGACGTTGATCGGACGTTTAAAAATAAATAAACATTCAACGTACCAATATCGACGTTGTTTCAACGTTGAAATAAGGTTGCTTTACGATCCTTCTAGTGTTGGTCAGATTTCGACGTTGATCGGACGTTTAAAAATAAATAAACATTCAACGTACCAATATCGACGTTGTTTCAACGTTGAAAAAAGGTTGTTTTACGATCCTTCTAGTGTTGGTCAGATTTCGACGTTGATATGACGTTTAATTTTGGTTGTTCAACATTTCAACCTAAAATCAACCAATAATCAACGTTGTTTCAACGTCAGATGCCTGCTGGGATGCGGACGACGAAGCAGCCTATCGGACGGCAGCGGCAAGAAGGCTTACCGGAGTGAGGTTAGAAAGTTCAATATCAATGGAGCAAATCTTTGAAGTCGACCGAAAAAAATCGATTTCCTATGGAGAAATCCCTATTTAATCATTAACTTAGAAAGAACGTACTGGTTTATTCGGAAGACAGAAAGCCTCATCATTGGATTATTTGGAATATTCCTTGTGTGTCCTGGAGCTCATGGCAAAACATTATGAATAAGCAAAATTTTGGCAGGAAACTCAAACGAAAAATGTAATAATTTTACAAAGAAGTTCAGTCACGATGGATGGATATGAAACTCTACATAATACAGAAAATTTTGAAACTTTAAGACCTTAGAATGGCAGCACCGCTGTTTTTATTCCAATAAGGTATAACTCGCTGCGCAACGCTATGGTGATGTTCAGGTAAGTGATATAACTTTTTTGACTTTTTTAACCTTTAGGATTCCTGAATACATCACCGACGGGGTCAACACGCAAGGTGGTGGGCAACCAGGGGCTGATGGACCAGCTTGCCGCGCTGTCGTGGGTGCACGAAAATATTGCGGCTTTTGGTGGCGATCCCGGCAGAGTGACGTTATTTGGACATGCAGCAGGGGCGGCCTGCATCACCTACCTCATGGTGTCTCCGGTGCTGGTGCCAGGTGAGCCGTCGTATTGTAGGTAGAGTGCTGGCCTAGCGTACGCTAGGCTTAGAATTTTATGGGGCAAGTGAGTGGTAGAGGGTTTCCTGACATCTCATCATATTGTCTCGTCCATTCTCTCGTCATCTTGTCTCGGTGTTTGACATTTGTCTTGAGCCAAATACCACATTTCAACGTCGAAACATTTCACAAATACAGCAATTAATAATTGAACATTTCATCGTTATAGCAATTCATCATTGCACGTTTCATAACCATAACATTTCATTGCTGCATAAAGTGCATTTTGCAAAAAGTTGAGACTGTAGGTGTAACCTGTACTAACTTAACCTAACCCAACCTAACCCAACCTAATTTCACCTAATAACCTAACCTTTGTGTTGGTTTCCAAATGAACTGGTTCCTGCCTTGAACCTAACCCCAGAATGGTACGTGTATCACACAATATATGTAATTTATTACCTATATGATATCTAATGGTTTAGCATGTTACATATTTATTTACACCTACATGTACTGATGTTTGCAAAATGCACTTAGTACAATGATGAAATGCCATAGTGGTGAAATGTGTCGATGACGAAATGTCTCGTATGATGAGATGACTAGCTACCCTAGTATAGACATATAAGTGTGTGATGTTCCCAGTGAGTTGATAGCCCAATGAGTAAAAGACATTATATGCTATGTCCAGTGTATTGGGAGCTAAAGTGAGTAGTTGACACCTCTGGTGATAATTAGCTTAGTACGAATATATGATAAGCCTAATTTTGGGTAAACATAGAATGAGATAGGACTACTTTACAATAGATCTATTGAATCATAGACATAGTGTATGATCGACATAATATATCGGTGGCCTTAAATATTTTGCCTAGAGAAGGGTATACGAAGTCAGCTGTAATACTTGCATATTGTAAGATTAATTATTTGTGGAGAAATAAAGTGGTAGGCCAAATGCATTATTAGACTAGCGAGTGGCATACTGGACATGTAGAAGAATTTGCATAGTGAGCTTCGTAGGTGTTACGCCATATCATGCAGGTTGGCAAATGGCAAAGCAAATACAAGAATGTGGATACCACACGTTGAGTGATCGGGAAAGAGTGTTGAGAGTGTAATTTGTTGTTGGACACCTGTGATTTATCATTGCGCCGGTAGGGTATATAGGTAGGTGGGCGTTTTAGTTTGCAATGTAATAAATTATGCACCTGGTTTGCTGATGAAGTAATATAATTTTATCAATGCTTTTTTGACTTTCTGTGTAATAACCTATATACTCACCCGTGTTTGTTCATCTATGTAATAGAAAAAATAGTTTCAAAAAGGTTTCGTATGCTATGCAGAAATTACACTCAGTCACACGAAATACAAAAAAAAAATCAAATATATGCAAGAAAGGATAATATCTCCCAGTATGGAATTTAGTGCTTATTTTTCCTTATTTCTTATGGATTAAATCTGTAATCTATTGATATAATATAAAAACTATTAAAATGCATATTCAGAAGCATCTAATGATATTTTCTCATCGTTTATGGGGAGTGCTGTTGGTAGAAAGGAACTGTCGCGGCGGCACAAGTATAAGTTATTCATATATGTTTCAACTGCCAAGACACAATCGGGTTGCGCTATACCGAGTTTCTAAAGGTGCCGTGCTCTACCCTCATGTTTTGTAAGAAATATCTTTTATGTGGCAGAGCTTGTATGCAAAAATTTTTCTCACGACAGCTTTTTGTGTAGTATATTTTACATGCTCTTATCAGGGAAGAGTTGGTAATAAAAAAAATAATAATATTCAGATAATATTTTCTGTGGTAAATTTATGCCTTTGAATGAATCGTTATAGGATAGTTTAATGCGAGTGATCACTGCAATAGTTATCCTTGCAACGCAAAAAAAATGCTGGTTTAGCTTTGGAGATTTTATATGATCGAATCTACCTTTAGTAGTTTTTCATTCAGAGACAATTCTTTTCATTATAGGTTAGCTTTCCAAAATTTTCAGTTCAAAGGCTAACAGGAATTCACGGAAATGACAAACGATATTTTTCGCTGCCGTATCAACTTTTAGAGCTAACAGCCATGCATGTGCCGGTCTGGGCAACATTTTGTAACTCACTCTTGATTTTGAAGCCAGCAACGAACTCCAAGCTCTAACTCTGCGAACAGCGCCATAGTTTTGAGTAATAGCGAGTCCCTGTGAAATGATTGGCAGGGTCGGCCGTTGATTGCTGCTCTCAAGGCTGATTGCCTGCCTACGGAGTGAATGCTTGGGTTGATTTTACGCAATCTTTGGATATAATGTAAGAAATATTTGAGAGATTTAAAGGCTATCTATGCAAGAAGAGGACCATAATATATTCTCAATAATTACTCGATTCTTCCACACTTGATTACATCACAACCATTGGAAGGATTTATTCAACGTCAAATTTAATATCCGCTTGATAGTTCTTTGACATTAAACAATATATTTCACGTTTTCATGCACTCGAAAGTCAAACAGATGGTATTCAAAGTTTTCACCTAGGAATGCCCGTTTGTTTGCTTATCAAATAGTTCATCTAAAGAAATATCTAAGAATAATTACAAACTGAGCAATTAGTTAAACAAATGAGGAAGAAAACGAAATCGTTGTACTTAAATTTCATGAACAATTTTGTAGTCGGCCTAACTTGATTTAATTCACTGGCATATCAATTAGGCCAGAAGAGGGAATTTTAAAACCATTATTGATTTGATGACTTCAGGAAATTTATTCCGGATTTGTTCAATTTAGATGACACGCGCTTTCTGCATTAGGCAAACATTACGTACCCAATCATAGTGAAACTACAATTACTGCATGAATACCATCACATAAATACCGGCTGATTTCGTCCCAAGTGACGAAATATGGCATTATTCTGGGGATAACGTAGAATACACTTTTAAGGGTCTCTTTTTTTGTTGTAGCAAATTCAGTTTATTCTCTCTATGAACAGCAAAAAAGTTCCTCAATATACAACGCCTCGAATATTGCTACCATAGTGCAGCTCCCGGTACGTAACTATGTGCGGCCCTTATGCTGTACGTAAGCAAAGTAATATGTAATATAAGTAATATGCAAGGATGGAATTAATTAGCGCCCGGGAACACGACCTAGAGCTTTGATTGCATCAAGCATGAGTTCACTTCTCAAGCACCACAACGTAAACTCTATGTTATTCACGAGTTAACTTTTCTTCTTGAGCCAATTATATCCAAGTCAACGGGTCGTATGTAACATTGATGAAAACAACAGGATTTTCGAATTATTGTAAACTGTGCAATAAAAATTCAGGCTAAAATTTTTGTTGCTCTCAGAAAAGTGTTGAGGAACCAATTTAAGAAGCAAAGGAGATTAGAAAACATACTATCGATGCTCTCGAATAATTTTGATAGGGATTGAATATTTATATCCTGATACCGTTTAGAAAATTTTCCAAGAAACTTAAATTAATCACGAAATTATGAACACTCTGGTTTTTGAACACTGAACATTAATCGATCTAGCAGAGCGTGGCGGGTGCGGCTCCCTCATCAAATGTAGATTTGATAACTAAGCCTGTTTGAATGACTAGAAACTGCCTGTGACAAAGAGCTGAATTTTTTATTTATTTTTGCAAAAACCAAAGCGGTATCTTGAACTGCTTTAATAGCTCTAGGTATTTACATAGGATCCCCTATATTTCTACATATGAGCTGAATAAAACAGTGTTATACGATGTGTAGATTCTCAGGAAAGTCAAGCACACACCTTTCTGTCGCTAAATCGGTAAAAACATTCTCCCTATGAGAGAAAATTCATAATCTTGGGAAATAACTTAACGTGCTCCTAAGCTCCGGTCTACTATTATTAAGATGGAGGGGCCAAGAATTGATAGAAAAACTGTATGTAAATGCAACTTTTCTATCCAGTTTGGCAAATATGTTTGGAAATAACTAATAAATGTAAATAAATTACTTTTACGAAGATTACGGCTTCAGCGAACAATTTAAATTTGATTGCAAAAATTTACCGACCAGTTTTATTCTGGATGGCTTTGTAAAAAAAAATTCACTTCAGTTCCAAACATCATTATCGTGTTGTATCGTGTGTAACTATACAATAAAACACACATGCAGCAGCTCTGCTTTGCCCATCAACTAAGCAAAAATTTCGGTTTAAAACGTTAACTTATCCACTGATTCGGCTTGTGTGCGATGATTTACGCTCTGCAATCATTCACGAGAATGATTGCAATTGCATGTAATGTAGCCGATAATATACGACCCGCGGAATAATTCTGGATGAATGCAATAGCCTTCAATTTGCAAGCTAATTGTTATGCATGCATGGGGTGGCTGGCTAACTGCCGGGTGCCTGACATTCGACGCTACGACCGAGTTTCTGGCTATAATTCTCGACTAATCGTGGAGAGTAAATTTCAGTTAATATCAAAATTACTTAAATGATTTCTATCGGATTATAAATAACTGTACAATTATATTATTCGTAGAATTAATACTGTTTTCATAATCTTTATATATTTGTGTAAAATATATTATATTGTATTAAATATTATATTATATTATATTATATTATGTTATATTATATTATATTATATTATATTATATTATATTATATTATGGTTTAGTAGATTATTTTTTCATATTGTTAAAACTGAATGTAATTGGCTAATTTGTTCGCTAAAGTTGGTATTTAAACACTGGTGGTGATTGGTCAGATAATTCATTGATTTAAATTTTCAGGGACGAACAAAATTCTTCTGATGACGTTGGTTGATCAAAATCCAGGTTAAATGAAGGAATTTTAATATATTACCGACGCTTTGAATAGATCAATATTCATTTTTAAGTTATAGGAAGCATTGAAAAGCATAATTTTATATTTATGGATAAATTTACCAGATAAATTTTTTAAACAGTTTTAAAAAAATCATGAATAATAGTGAATGTAATGATAGAAAATTCACCATGTACTACAATATTATTGAACGTTAAAGATATCCAATTAGACTTCCAATCAACAAATTTTTATTAGTGTAATAAAAATTCCATTCAGGCATTTATGTGTTTCTTAACATAAGCAGCGAGTTTTCGTGTGATATAATGATAGATATAGAGCAAAGAATACCGAGAATACCACAGTATAACTTATTCGTACTTCTCTATTAAAAACCTTTTCAAGTGATATTATTTAACGAGAAATTCCAGTCTAGGCGACGTTCAAGAAATTTACTCTCAGGCCCCACGCTCAGTTCTAGAACTTTACCAAATCGTGATGGCACCAAGTTTAAACCTGAACTCTGCTCTATTACAACTTTAGCTTCGGCACTCTGCATTCACTTGAGGATGCTGCCACGACTCACTAAATTATATAAAGACCTTAGATTAGCAATCATTTTAAATTATATCACATGCCTATCACAGATCCTTCAACAAATTCATACGAACAGAGGGTCCAGTGATGGCTAATCGGGAATCAAAAGATGCGTTGGATAACTTTTCGTATCTGTGATAACCGGTTTAACTTTTGCCGTTATCTCGGATGGCTTCATTAGGATGGCGAAAATCGTTCTGACTTCTTCACGGCAACAATTTGCTGACGTCCAGTAAATCAAGAAGTCCGGAGCAGACATAGGATTGTATCGCTATTTTGGGACCTAACCAGGACTTTGGAGACATGTTAGGTTTAAAGCTTCCAATTGCACATAAAAAATGAAGTAGACTAGTCCTTTTCGTTTGAACTATTAATGGAATTTCTGGGAATAGCTTTTTAGGTTCTTGATAATTTGTTAGCCAGCGTTTGGTGCCATGAATTATTAATTTTCCTTGTTGCTCTATTTCAATTGAAGAATTTTAGGGACCCGCTGTGATAGAGCTTGTTCTCGTTTTTAATGCTGCCAGAATGACGTGAACATTTGCAAGACGTACGTTTCGCTCCTTTGTAAACACCGTAAATTTCTTCTATCCACTGCAGTGGATAGTAGTAATGGATACCAATTATGTAGTAACTACTGCTTTCTTTTCTGTTTTCTAAATCGCTCTCGGATCTTCTCCTTATCATCATATCCTCACGTTTCGGATTTTCAATTCACTTTGAATTTTTTCTCCTTTAAAATCACTCTTAATCTACCTAAAACAGGCAAGGAGGAGCTTCTTAGGCATTCCGTCTTAAAAGCAATTATAAAAACATCTAACTAAAACTCTAATGGAAACTTTCCACTAGGTTTGTTTCACCGGGCCATCCTGATGTCAGGCTCAGCTCTGAGCTCCTGGGCTGAGGTCCAAGATGGCATCTCTGTGACGGCTCGCCTGGCGCGGGCGCTGAACTGCTCCCTACCCTCAGATCTGAGGGAGCAGCACCCAGAGACCATCGTGTGTCTCAGGAACTTGTCCGCCCAGACGCTCGTCAACGCGCCGCTCCCCAAGTACAAGTTTGCTTCACTCTTCGGCCCCAGCGTCGACGGTGTCGTCGTTACCGCTGACTACAGGATCAGGCTCGCAAGGGTGAGAGGGATGATGAGTGGCGTTAAGGTTTGAAGTTACGTTACTGCGATGATAAGACAATATGGGTAGGGCGAGTAGATATTGCTTAAGGGTGAGTGCAGAGCTCAGCTAATGTTGCAGAGTGGGAGGGAGCGTTGGGTGAGAAAAGAAGAGATGGGGCGTGAGATTTGAATGAACGATAATGGTGATAACAATGAGATTGGGGGAATGAGTGAAGGTAAGTATGGCAATTGTATTAGGAATGATAAAATTCCTTCGTACTTGTCATAGGAAAATAGATACAAATGGAAAAAAAATTAAGAGAGAAACCTCAACATCATGTAGAGCCATCAGATGAGATAGCATAATAATACTTAGATTGGCATTCTATATGAGCGAGAGATCATAGGCTCATTTTAACGTAGAAAATCAATGTGTATGTATAATATGCATAGTAACGAAAAATTACTACAGAAACAGAAACTATATACTGTGATTGTCTAATTCCAGCTCTCTTGTTTACGAGAATTGGGCTTAGTTATTGTGAGCAATAGCAATGCAGCTAGGGCACTTTTGTAGTCAGATCCCAATTAATGCTAATTGGCGTCAAATTGAATAATATTTAATGGTGTCCTATGCCTGCTGAAGGACGACTCGGAAGTGGCATCTACAGGCATTAATATCCTATTGACCGCACAAACAAACTTCACATATATGAAGAAGTTTACTCGAAAGCTCAACATTAATTACGAGCTTGTATCTGAAATTCTGTATAAATAATACCGTATTCCGAATATGACGACAGTAGCAAATGCTCATTTTTGAAATTGCATAATCGAAGCTCCTCGATCAATTGAATTCAATGAATTCATTAGAATTCTGAATGAGAACAATTGTTGATGTGAAACTAATGTGGTTTTGAGTGGCACAATTAAGAAATTGAATCTTTTCGAATCCTATGAGATAATTACCATTATCATGTCAGTCATACTGCCATGAGTTCTGGAATTAATTATTTTGTCTACAAGAGCATAGAAATAACGCCAAGTAAGGGATGAAATAATACTGCGAGTGGGGTAAAAAATTCACTTTGGAACATTCATAAAGATAATTATAGCCATTTTCTCTTTAGGACGCAATAACATATTGAATTAGAAGCTAAATGTTAATTTTTGTTCATGATTTGTAGTGCATGTTTTCATTATTTTAGGTGGGACATTTTATATTCATATAAAATAGGTGGGAAATTGATGGAGGTTTCAAGTATAATACGTAATATTGATTCTCGTTGAGGCTGCATTTGAAACTAGAAGAAAAAATAAATGGCTTGCAATTTTAACGTACGGCCATACTCATTTATCGATCTATAGAAAAAGTTCATGAATATTCCTTCTAACTGGCGCAAAAATGGGCAAAATAGGTTAAAATTATGTATTTAAATTGTGTGCGTATTCACGATTTCTATCAACCGGAAAATTGACTGCAATGCATGAAAACTGTTGAACAACAGAACGCTGATCGTTAGTATAAAAAAATTCATTTGCATATGGGTAAAATATAGGAGTTTCAACGAATGAAGTGCCAGTTGATAGCGGATATACCATCTCGTAAATTATTATGAAAGCTCGAAAAGCTCTAGGAAGTCTCATACCGGTATCTTCTCCGTAGTTTCTGTGAATCTCGTTAACTGCAATTCCGAACCCAAGTTTACTGCCGAGCGAAGTGCCAGTCAACGTCACGTCAGATGCCGGTATCGCGCAGCATGGGAGGCTTGATAGTGTACACGCTCGGCCGAGGTTTATGGTCTCAATGACAGATTTATTCAACGAATATCAATGGTTACCTAATTAAAAATGGTTATATTTATTCAATTCAATTTGATTTTTTAAAAAGTTAATGACTGGCAAACTCATCCGCTCACCCATTTTTTCATATCAATTCTGTGTCCCTTGCATTGGTAAAAATTCGTTGTTTTTAATATCTTCGAATATATCGTCGCCTTGAATTTACTTAGATCAAATGAATTTTTGAATATACATTAATTTAGGCATAAATTTAAATAGGTATCCTGTCGCCAATTAACTCATTTCCACCTGAATTATATATTCAGGTGGAATTCGTATATTCGATTAGTTCTACATTTTTATTCAGCAATATTTACTTCTGAACATTCAGCCCGCATACAGCATGTCTTTGATTGTGAGTATTCATGAAAATTAATGGTGCGAAGGAATAATCGTGAATTACATTAACCCATTAACCTAACCAATATTTTCGATAATTTTATATTCCTCTTCCAAAATTGCTGCCACGAAGCACGCGAAAATAACATTATTAATCGATGTCGGTCGGGGTAATGAATTATTGCTGCAGTTTGACGTCGCTCTAGAGCCGCCATCTCAGCTCTGTGGGTTTGTTCCCTAATTTCTTAGCGTCTCGATATATTGCCTCATGCAAAATTTATGGCTTTACTTTGCCGAATTTGAGCTATCAACTTGGTAAGTTTAATTCTAAGTTCCCGTCTAAGTTGCCTTCGTGAAACTGCCGAGAAAATCCTTCGCGCCTAAAATTCTGTAGGCGGATCGAATTGCCAACTCTTGATGACATAAGTTCAGGCTTGGCACGTCTTGACGCAAGTTAGGACTTGGCAAGTCATGTCATGAGTTAGGCCTTGACATGTCTTGTTATGGATAGACCTTTTCATGCATGGACATTAGGTAGGACTTGACAAGTAAGAACGCGTCGAGCTCTTGACTTGTATTATAGGTTAGCATGTCAGGGATTTGTTAGCATTTTTTCGAGGACTTGACAGGGCGTAGCAAGTCTTGACTGGATTAAAGAAGTGATTGGTGTGGCGACTATTGCATGAAGAAATTTCAACACAAGGAAACAATTGGCAAGTAATGAACCGCATGCTGGGGTCTGGGCATGTTGTGACTAACGTGAGCGCGACACAAGAAGAACATTACATTATAAAGATGCAGTAGCAGCCATATTTGCCTCATTTAAAGCTGTCACGAATGCAGCTTCATCTTTGTCAACTGTTATTGCAACAGCAGCATCAGCTACGTTTAACAAATTTGCGTTTGCAGTGCGGTTAGGTTAACTACAATCACAAGAGAATTTTAAGCCTATCAACAGCAGTCGCAGCAGCAATGTTAACCTCGTCAGCAGTTGTCGCTTCAGCAATCTCAGCAACGTCAGCAATAAGAACTGATATGCTCTCTTTCTGTAGCTTATCTTCGTCGGAGACAGCGAAAATATCTCAGAGAGACGACGAAAGTCTGGTATTTTTCCTCACTGAAGAATATGAAGCACATCGTTCGCTCCATCCTTGCTGATGAGTTGCTCAAAATAAACAGGATTCTATTCTACTTGTTTTGTTAAGATGGAAAATAAACTCGTCCTCTTCCACTCAACTTCTTCCGTTAACAAGAAACTTCTTGGCACGGTGACCAGGCTTCGAGTTCAGTGGTCGTGGCCAAGGAGAAATCAATACTTTTGACAAAGGTTTTCACATCATTTTTGGGTAATTTTTGGGTGATATTGTGACAATATCGTAAGAAAGATGAAGTTTTTGGCAGCAAGTAGGAGGATTCATTGTCTTTGGATGTATCTTAAAGTTCAGTGCAGAATTTCTCCACGACATGCATCGTAACCTACATCACCGATCAGTAATCAAGGAAACTTCACGAGATGCTGTCTACGAGCGTTTGCACGATCGCGATACACACAAAATTTAGATGGAGAACAGAAGATTTTCAAGACCTTCTGTAAAAAATTTCAAATAAGGCATGATGTTAATATCCTGTTTCGCGAAAGAATTGTTTCCCCGAGTATAACAGCGTAATCAAATGAAAAAATAAACACTGATCACAAGTTAAAAATTGAATAATTTCAGAGAATAAAATTTTATAACACTGAATTTTCGTCTTATTCTCAAACTACTCTGATATGATTTAGCCATCAACACCTAAACTCAGATTATAGTCGAAGTCATGGTGTAATTAAGTGAACTAAGTAACATAATTAAATAAACTCCTAAACCAATTCACTTCTCATTCTAACAGTCGTTGTTGAATTGACTTAAAATTATTCAAAGTCAGTCGGTTCAACTTTGATTATAACGACTGTTTTCCACTGAAGTAACTGATTCTCACTTCATTCATTACAAACCAAATGTTAGCTGAAAGATCAGATTTTACTTGATTGATAGATCAGATTAAAGAAGTTGTATTTGTGCATTTATATGTAGATTTGACAGCCACTTCACTCAGAATCCAGTTTTCATCTTGATTGCAAAATTTAAAAATCTATTTCTAATTTAAGTCACATTATTTTCCATGTTGGAGTTTTATGCTGGAACTACGATACGACATACGATACAAACACTGGATTAGGAATTATTATTTATCTTGCTGAGGTCACCGGGTCGCACCAACTCGGCTTGCGCGCTCGTAGCGCCAATTAATGAAGGATGAATAAAACGATAAACGATAACTATGTTATTAAACTTCATATACAAATAAATACAAAAATATATAAACCGTTAATTCGCTTTTGTTCGTATCACATTGACATGATTTCGGGTTCTAACTTCGGAGACAACGCAATGACAGTGCAATTAAAGGCGTGGCTAACAAGGTGACGTTTTTCAGAGGTGACTCAGACTCGAAGCTATAGCAATACCAAATATTGCATAACATTCCCTTTCAGCGTTTATAATTCATGAATAATTCAGTCAGTCGATCTTCATTTAAACTATTCGCTTAACTTCACTTTAAATAATTTAATGAAACGTTCATTTTATTGTTTCTTTTACTATTCATTAAATTATTGAAATGACCATTTTTACCCGTCTGTAATGAAGAATTGGCTTCTATAAATCGCCTTTGGTATTCGAGTTAAAAAAATCAACCTATAAATTATGTGGATGACTTTCAAGATAAAATATCATCATATCTAGTCATAAATTTACTGGTTATCGAGTTGAGAGCTTACAAATGGACGAACTAATAGCAATAATTTGTCAAAGCTTGTCAAATTCATGTATCAAAATATGGCTGGTTCGATAACAAATCATTTCTAAATCTCAAACGAAAAGCTGCTGCGGAATAAGACTGTATTCAACAAGATTAAATTGAATTTAATTTATTGCTGACATGAATGAGTGACGAAAATTAAAAATAATAACAACGTAAAATTGCTTAAATATAATATGTTATTTTTGCTGCAAACGCGCTGTACGGCGGTAAGCGTCAAAATTTGATTTATAATTACTGAAATTTCGCACTTAATTAATTTGATAAAAAATTGTCAACTGAATCAGGAATTCAAGATTAAAAAATTTCCACCTGTATTAACGACGATGATTTAATTACAAATAGTTGATGTCTGGAATGATAGCACATACGTAAATCGACCGTTAACCATGGCGGCTAGGGGCAAGCATGAACAAACTTTATCAACTTGACTAACTGGGGACAAACGTACTATAAAAACTTGTTCAGGTACACGGTGGGGGCCTCAGTACACCTGGCGGCTGTATGATTTTGTATGTGACTCGTGGGTTTAGCATGAAAATATAGCCGTCAGTGATTGATCGAGGGCCGTGGTTACGAACTCGGAACCATTTTGATTGTACGTTAACGCGAACGCAGCAAAAGAAGAACATTGATTAGGCAGATTCATTACTAAAAGCAGATGTACCTTAGTTAAGTTCTACACTGCCTTCGCCGCCGCAGTTCTGGTGTTGAGACCACATGCTTATGCCGAGGATGAAAACATCTATGTAACATATGCTTCCCAGTGTAACCGGGGACGAAGGCGACCTGAGGAGGCCAGGATACCACAAATATTTACGAGTTCGAAACTCCGTCAGCCAATCACTGACGGCTTTTCTAGCTGGGAATACGGTCGCTTCGTGTACTTAGACCGCTACGTATACTTTCGATAGTCCTGCCTAAGTTTCGATAGTATAAGGCCCGAATACATTTTCAGACGCCAAAGTATTACGAACGATCTCACCCGCGCGCCCACAGTACTCACTGAATGTATGCTAAATATATATATGTAGCATGGCATATTTAATTTGCACACGATCGGTTCTTGGATAATTACTCAACTCCAATAACATCAGCTGGAAATATAAGTATATTCAAAATTACTCAGATGTTCTTCAAAGGGTCGTATGGTTTCGTACAGCACGGATTGACAACTATTCCTATTTATTTATAATTGAGCAACATTATGATATCTTCCCACCAATCTTCGCGTACAAAATAGCTTACATGTCATTTTTGCGATTCTCGCCTGTTCATGCCTTTACAACTTTTCCAGAGGTTAAAGTCAGTTCTAGGCTCCAACGTCTCTAAGGGAAGTGTTGATAAATTATCTCCCTGCAGTAATTCTATCTGGAATGTTTAGCTATCTTCCTGGCTTCCTAAGCTTCAATCGTGATAATTCCTTTCAAAATTTACAGTACAAGGAGGAGGAATGAAAAAGCAAAATTTTTTTCTCATTAGTTATCCCAACACAAATACATTTCTTGAAAAGAAAAAATTGTATCCTTCCACTCATACTTTTTTTACGCTAAGCTTTAAAGCTACTAACTCTAGAGAGGAAACATTTTTTGAGTAACTAATAGCGCGACTTTACTTCCTTGTTTGTGCGTTATTTTCTGGAGATGAAATCATTTTTTCAATACTCTGCTGACAACAAATATTTATAGTACATCTCATTTATTCGGTTAAGTGTTTAAAATGTTCAATTTAGACGATATGTTTTCCACGCTTCCCACCTACTTTTTCTTCAACTTTACGGACATTATAACACACTAATATCTGATATATTTAATACGTTCTGTACAATCCTTCACCGAAAAATCTTAGTTCCTGTTGCCAGGAAGTCGAAAACCAGAAAGTGATCCCTCAATGTTTTTCATATGGAAAATGATTCGATTCTTTAACTCATCTGAAGCTAAAAGTTCACTGTGTGATTCTCATCAATCCATTTGTATTATCTCACTTCTTGAAAATAAGTCGTTGAAAAAGTGACTTTCCTACATAAATATACAAGTGTATACTCCTATTTTGATTTGGTTTCCAGGAGCTGAAGGAAAGAAATCTCCACGTAAATATTTTAATTTCTTTCACAGGAACTGAAAGACAGAAACCAGTCCGTGGCTGCATGCATCATATGAATCTCTACGTATATATTTTATTTTGGTTTACAGGAACTGAAAAACAGAAACCTGTAGGTGCCTACATGAACCACATAGATCTCTACCTATTTGTTTTGATTTCCAACACAGGAACTGGAGGAAAGAAACCTGTCCGTGTCTTCATGCTCCAGATAAATCTCTATCTATTTTAATTTGGTTTACAGGAACTGAAAGACAGAAACTTGTCCGTAATCTTGGGAGTGACAGAGGGCGACGCTTATCCGGAGCTGACACACCGTCAAGCCACCGAGGGACTCAACATGAAGGAGCGCAACAGGATCTTCAGGACGTTCGTGCGCAACTCCTACGACCACCATCTCCAAGAGATATATTTAGCCATGTGCAAGGAGTACACGGACTGGGGAAATCCTTCTCATCATCCCATCGAGGTTCGGAAACACTGAGTTAAATTTCCTCTCATAAAGTAGGAACAGAATAATTCAGGTAGCTTTGGGTCCATCGTTATTTTATGACAAGGAATAATTGAGTTTACCTCATTCGTCATATATTCTGGACATGGACGAATCCAGTTAATCTCCCCCAGTATCTAATGTTGGCATGGATTAGTTTGGTTACCTTCCCTTCATTCATTGTGGCTTGAGAAAATTGAGGCTATTTTTTCTATCATTCTTCCGTAGCTCGTAATCACTGAAATATCCTGTTTCACCATCCGTTCATGATATATAATGATCGAGTTAACTGTATCCGGTATCTTTCCGGTCATGGAATGGATGAAATAATATTTCCAGTTATTCATCCATTCGTTGCATGGGATGGTTGAGAAAACTATTCCCCTTATTCAACCATGTTACGGAATAGTTGAACTAGCCTTTCAAGCGAGGCGCCATAAGTAGTCGAGTCAGCCTTTTCCTTCATTAATCGAGTCGCTGAATAGTCGAAATAATTATCCACACCAACAAATTATTTTTTTATTTACGTAACAAATTCTATTGTACATTTTTTCTTCGGGCTCAGCATTGGTAATTCTCATCCAGACGGCAATTTCCTTGTAAAAGTTACCGTTTTTCATTTCCCCGTGTTGCATATTCAGAGTCACTTCTTCATAAGATATTTCCTGCTAATGGTTTCATTTCTCAAATAAATTTCATAATTAGTACATGTCCGTAGTTTTTATTCTAATAAGACAGATGCTGTGATTTTTTCACCAGGTGCGCGATCTTGCGGTCGAGGCTCTCAGCGACGGTGGATTTGTCGCTCCCATGACACGCACGGCAGCCGTGCTGAGCCAGCGTGCCGACACCTACGTCTACGTCTACGCTCACCACGACGCAGATCATCAGGTATGATCCGTAATATGTGTTAACTGAGCATCCACGAGAGCAGGTTGTGTGGTGCCTAAGAGCTCTTCGATTGCTTGTTGTTTGCTCTGTTGCCTTGCACGTGCGTTGCTCCCATTCTCTCGTCTCGTTCTTGCTGACGCGGCGATTTTATTATTGACACGTCTTTCTACTGAGTGTGCTCGTTACTCTTTTGCGACGTGCCACTTGCTTGATTTGTTGCACGTAGTATTCGATCTAGCATAAGCGTAATTTTGATTGTAGCCACAGCAGCCGTTCCGTCTTGGTCTTCGCCTAACCTTATGGAAACGGCCGAGGGATGGAGGGGAGAGGACGCGGGTGCCTGAGTTGCTCGACTGTTAACAACAGGAAGAGGACAGTTAATTGTTCTTCGTGTGAGGGATGTTACCA